TTTGGGAGACTTCCGAGCACGGCATTCCGGCTGGCCTCGCCCACCTCGTCGAGTTGCGGAGGGGTCACACCACCAGCGACCGAGTGCTGCCCAACGGGTGTCGAACGTCCCGTTGCTTCTCGCAGCCGATAACGGCTTGCAGGTGCAGTTCCAGACTCACTAACAAGCTGAACTCTGGTGCTGGCTCTGTTCTGGAGGCTTCGACCACGGCATTCCTGCTTGCCTTCTCCCCGCCCCACCGAGCGACAAGTCCCACTAGCACCGCCGGAGCGCCGCCCGAGTTAGGTGTCGGATGTCCAGCTTCTCCTCGGTCCCGTAACGGCTTGCAGGTGCGGGTCCAGACACTCTGGCAGACGGGACGGACCCATTTGCGGACCGGGGGTTTCGGGATGGTGGTGACGTCGACTTCGTGGAATTGAGGAGAGGGGGGAGGATGAACTGCTGCAGGAGGGGACATTCGTTGGCAGGGTGGCGTCGAGGGAAGCCGAGAAAAAGCAGCTCGCGGCACGGGGGAAGGACGCCGACACGCGGGACGCCGAGAAAGTGCGGAGTTTGAAAAAGGACCCCTGGTACGCAAGGCCGCTGGAGAGGGAACCCCGCGAGAGCCGAGACGTCGCAAGGAGATCGAGTCAGGGACGGAAGAGGGACATCGCCTGGGAGCCGGGCCTGCTGCGGAACCCCTGCGAGCACCGCAAGCCCCCAAGAGATGCACGGCAGGACATGTGAGCCCCGTATCATCAAAGCCTGATTAGTGTTCAATTAATTCGAAGAAATGCATAAAAAGTTAACCCTGCGATCAGTGTTGTGAATTCCTCCGCCCTGTGTGAACCCCGAAAGACGGTATTGCACGGCGCCGTCACAAAACGAATTAAACGATTAGCAAAGAGCACCTGGTGGATGTCGCTAACGGCTCGTTTGTAATGCTCGTCTAGGAACCTTGACAGCTAGTGACGGAGGTTGTCTCGTCTCCAGCCACGACGAGAGAAAAGGGGAAGGAGGAACTCCCCTCTTCCTGAGAATCCCTTTTGTGTGTCGCAGAAGTCGCTATTGTCCCCCTAGAAGATTATAGAAGATTAACCCGTCACTCAAAATTCGTACAAAAGCAGCCGCTTCGGTGGCTGGAACGACTAGGCCATCCTCTCGACGTCAGCCTTGCCGTAGCTTTGCTCGTCTTGAGACGACCTACGTCACGATTGCGTTGGATGTCACGTGCTCTAAGCTGGGCCTTCTCCGAGCGCTTGCCAGAGTGGGCAGTTTATAACGAAAAATACATCCACCAGGATCAAAATACAAACGTGTGATTGTCATTTACGGATATTGTGGATCATATTCAACCTATTTTTGAACACGACGGGAATATTTCAAATTTCGTTGAAGTATCCCTTTAAAGAGCCTGGCGTCTCCTTGAATCACCCTGTATATAGGCAGAGGTATAGAAAAAAAGTATCGAAAACTTATAGCGCCGCAGACGTTTCTGAACTAGAGGTTTGCGGATATGAACATTTCTAATACAAAAAGAAGATTGCTCAGTGATCATTTTCAGCTCCAGCGGACTCGCGTTCTGATACCGTGCCCGACTATTTATACATTTTGGGGGTACCTTATAAGGGAAGGGCGCCACGAAAGCGCACGACACGAGAGCGCGTGTCATTAGAGCGTTCAGGTATCGAATCCCTTCTATACACCATTCCGAGATTCACAAGTTTTCAGCCCAGCGTGCGATCTCCTTAGTCTAGCACGCGCATGTTTTTATCGGTTCGGAAAACGAGTAAATCAACGATCCATGTATATGCACGAACACTGAAAATGAAATCGGCCAGGAGCCCCCCCCCCCCCCCCCCCCCTTTTTTTTTTTTTTTAAGGTCGCGTTGTTATACACTGAGTTACGAAGAAGAGGTGGTTGATGATGATGATGATCGGCCACTTGTAACAAGAGGCCTGATGGCGAACACGTTGCGAAGTGAAGTTCAGTCAGGTGGTATTAGACTTTAACTTAGATATATTTATTTAACATAGTACGTTGGTGGGCGCGACAGGACGTCGCCGCCCGGCACTTTCCGTCCTCCAAAATCCCGACAAGGAACGCGACCACAACCCAGCTCGATTCGCCTCAAAAAGCCCCGTCTCCTCCCTGGCCCCTCCGTTTTAGAGAGTCCGGTTTCCTCTCCCAATCGTCCGAACCAAACGCCGTTTCCCACGCGATTTCTTTCTGGTCGACGGTTGGTCCTAAAAGCACACAAGCAGAACAACAACATGCTGTTGTCGTCTCAAACGGATAACCAAAGTAAACACACAAAGACCCCACGTTTTCTTCGGCGGTCATTACAAGAAGGCGCCGTGAAGATGGGCGCACCCACGAAACCGGCCCGCTCATACAATGACAGCAAAGCCGACATGTACGGCACCGTTTACTACACGAGAAGCCCCATCCGGCAGCCACCCGTGGGAATGCGTCCCATTGTCCCGGCTCCCCAATTAGGCAGGCGCCCGCTCGACGCACCCTTGAAAGTGACACTCCCGCGACAGTCCCCCCCATTCCTGGCCAAGCCGCCGTCTCCCCCGCCGCCCGGGGTGATCCTTCCGACGCCGCAGCTGCGCTTTGACCCAAACCGAAAAAAAAAGAATGAATAATATGCCTGTACCTAACTCACTGGATTATCTGTTACGCGACAGCCAGCACTGCACAATATGTGAGTGCAGCTCATATTTCGTCATTAATCATAGGAACGAACGAATTGATTTCGAGCGCGTTCCGAATTCGACGTTTTCCCGACATTTGCCAGAATTAAGCATGATAATCATGTAACACCTGCGCCCACGGTAGGGCTCCTGTAGGCTTACTCTCAGTAAATAACAAAAATGTGTAATCCCTCCCCCTCCCCCCCCTTCCCCCCCCCCCCTCCCCCCAAAAAAAAGAAAACTTATTGCCAAAACGATTTTTTTCCCCCACCCATATTGATATATAAATCGTATCGAATTTTGTTTCTGGGGGACAAAAATGACAAGCAGAACTGTCTCGAAAGCGAAAGTAGTGACAGATTTTAAAAATAGCACTCTATAAGCGGCAGCGATGACAACAGCTCGGGATAGATGACCTGAACAAAAGAAATTATCTTAAATGACTGCAAACCGCTGCGTTCAACACGCTTGTGTCACTTTCGCCCAGCTCAATTTGCGTACTCAGCCAATTCAATAACATCTAGCGTTCGAAATGCGACTCCGTTGGGTGTCAAAATTTCAGCTCCGTAAAAACATACGCGCGTAAAGACCCCAATATCGATCACTCCCAGGGCGCGCACATGCGCTCTCGTGACGCGCGCTCTAATGACACAATAAATCCGATAAACTACGAAAAATGCTCGCCGGTAAAATTGTCGTCAATTCGGATTTATCTGAAGACCTCAAAATATCGAGGTCACGATGGCAAAATAAAAAGGCAAAAAAGTCAGATCACAGAGTTAATAACAAAAAAAAAACATTTTTTTTATTTCAATTTTTTTTTTTTGGTTTGGTTAGCACAATGAGTCAATGAATTTCTGGACCACAACGAAAGCTACTTCCAGTTTGAACCATACCATTTGTTCCCCTCGGAGTTAAGGGAGGGGGGGGGGGGGGGGGCGGTGTAGTGATTTCATGAAAGTGAAAGTTGGGAACCTGTAGTTATCATTGAATGGGAAGGGTAGCTGAATGTGTTATGCGTCCAGGACTTTGGCTTTTTCAAAGTACCGACGTTTATGAAGTGACGCCGTTTTCAATATTTGTCGTGGGACAATGGGTGCCGCGAATTGCAAAGGCGGCGCTAATGCCAAGTGCAGCTGCAGAAATTCGGTACCGGTGATTTTTTTTCTTCGGATTTAGTGTAGGATTTTGTCGAGGAATCGTTTATTTTTATTAAAAAAAAGAAATATAAGAACAGGCTAAAATTAAACTCCGAGTTTCGAAAAATTGGGAATCTAACATAATAAACTCCTATAAACCCCGAATTTCCAGCAAAAAATAAACTCCAAAAAACACCCTCCGAATAAAAAAAAATGAATTCCGCGCACACGAAATCCCACTTATAAATGTCGGTATAAAAACAAAATACGCACACGATTTGAAAAAAATTAATTGAATAGCTTAAAACCGAAAACATGAAATTGAAATTCAAATATGCGTCCACCATTGGTACCCCCCCCCCCCCCCCCCGCCCTATATGCAACAATATATCGGCAACACACATTCGAAAAGCCGGGAAAATCGATTTATTGAAAATTGAATCCTCTGAGTTAAAGAAACCAACGCGTTTGATAAGTTTCGCTCCTTGTACAACAAGTGCATCTTCTGTAATGGCAAACAGCGCGGGGGGCGGAGTTCCAATGTATTGTTGAGTTTACATGAGACGCCTCTTTCATAGCATAAATTATTTTTATTACTTCCAGACAGACCTCTGCTACGTGGAAATCCAGGTTATGGAAACATATGGTCAGCAAACATTACTGAAACCAACCCCAACTGTGCACAGACAAGCAAACCGGGCCTTCAAAATATGTCGCTTTAATGTGGTAGTACGTATATCTTCTAGCCATTACTTTTATACCGCATCAATCCAAGTAGACATGAATATTTGCAATTATAACCACGTGCTTGTAAATCCTCGCTTATTTTACACACGAACTCCATTCCAAGATTCCAAGAGGTACGAAATAGCATTCGTCACTACCCCGTTCTAAAGGAAATCTTGATAAATCATCATCATCATCATCATCACTACCACCATCCATCGTCTTTCTGCGAGCGGTAGGGGTCTGGAGAGCAATACAAGAGCTACAACATCGGTTAGAGAGCACAGTATCACGTTGTGGCGTTCATCATGGCCCTTCGGCACAGTGTATCTCGACATCCATAATTGGTGCTCAAGTGGTGTCATTCAAAAGGGCAACATCTGCACTGGAAAGGGCACGGGCAGCCAGGCGCCCATACAGTGGAGCCGATCTTCCAGTTTCGCCGCTGCTGACAAATCAGAATGGAGAACTGGAGCTCCTGTGCTCTTGAAAGTTGACCACGGTCTTCTTCGTGACGGTATGGGACGGCACACTGCCGTGTCTCCTGGGCTGCGTGGTTGTGGACGGTGGGGTGTAGTCGATCGGTGGTTCGATGAAGTACGGTGGAAACGGGTAGCGATGCAGGTCGCCGGGATAGTACACAAACGCTGGTGGAGGCGGTGGCTGAGGCTGCGGTTGCCGGGCGTGGTGATGCCCGTTTCGGCGGACGTCCGGTGCCGGAGACTGCGGTTCGTCGGCGAACAACGGGTGACGCATCTGACTGCGGCTGCTGACGCTCACGATGCTGTTGGGTTGACCCAGGTAGGAGCGCACGTTGCAGAGCATCCAGGAACCAAAGAGACCGCAGGCCGCCACCACGATGAGCAGCACGAACCACAGCAGCAGGTTCTCCATGCTCCTTTGACTGCATTGGACAACGAGAGGTTTGATTACTTTCGGTGAACAGAGTAACGAGAACTCTTAATTGATATGCAGGCCCTCAAGGGATTCTGGGGCAACACTGCAGGGCAGAGCTTGCAGGAAGCGTAAACGATTGATTAATCATCTTTGCGGGTTTGTGTGAAATTTGCGTAGAGTATTTAGTTTCCAGGGCTGTGGGTGGGCTTCGTCTGCCTGTTTTGCGTCCGCCTGTGCATTTGAAATGAATGTGCACAAAATTTATATTGATTGACGTTGGTTAAAAGTGTTTTTTCACACTAGCTCGAGGTTTTGTCGTGCACATACCTGTGTGCGATTGCGGTTCTACCGCTGGTGGCAGACGTGAGAACTCCAGGACCGCCGTACCTTCGTTATCTAACCCTGCATTTTCCCATTCCAGTGTCAGCATTCAAGTCCGTACCCATAAGTTGTTTTTTTGTTTTTTTACGTACAGGATGGTTTGATGTTTCAAGCAAACCATCAAGGCACGTTTCTAAGTACAGTACATCTCGTACGCTTCACCGAGGCCGGCTTGCAAGCATTTCTCAAACGTTACTGGCCACTGCACCGACAAGCGGAGAGCCTACAAACGTGTTACTGGACTGACTTCTGATTGTATCACTGAAGCGGACTCATATTCGATTACACAATATCTCAAGACTGACACTCCTGTTTCGGTAAAGCTAGAAAAGTAAGAGCGAAAGTGTTCCAGCAAAGGGCTAAGAGCTTCCTTGGGAAGCTCTTCGCCTTGATTCTGTTTAGAGCTTGGAAATTGTCATCCTCGAGCATGACGACTTGCCGCGGCTGGCCACAAAGCCAGGGGCCTCGGCAAGGGTGGGTTGGTGCAGAAGTGCCTCGAAAAGCTACGGACATCGTGCTCGCACATTGCTCTCTGGTCCAACTGAAAGCCAAGTCCACGCTGCACCACGTACATCGTACATTCCTTGGCTATCAACTGACCGCGTACCACGGCACGAACCGAAGCAAGGGGAGCTTACCTGCAGGAGGCGATCCAGTCACCGTCCAAGGGAGACAGATGTGACGTCACCGATTAGGCCCAAGAGGCGCTGCTCCCTGGATGCTCGTCGGGGGACCTCCCGCGGTGCCCGTTAGCACAAGCCAGCCGCCCCTTCCGTGCTCGAATAGCTCATGCGGATCGGACACAAACGCTCCGGGGTTGCTCTCTCGGGCGCATTACCCTCCATGAGCAGACGCGCCCATGCCGGAAGCTCGTCTTCGTCACGTTCCCATTCGGGTCTCCCGACCCGTCCGCATCTCTGCTGTCACCAGTGAAACCGTAGAGCCGCATCCTGCGTGTTGCCTTCGCGCGTCCCCGACCGAGGTCTAGGTTCGTCGCCTCGAAGAGCAGACGCGGGATGATGGTACACAGAGAAATTGCAGCCGGTTAGGAGGCTTCTGGTCTTTTGCCATAAGCGGGCTGATATAGCAGACGGCTCATACATCATACAAAAGACGCGGTGTTCGTCGCAGACGGGGTGACAGAAGCATCTGCAGACACGTCCCAAAGAATGTTCGAAGCATGCTTCGAAACATGTTTGCAGACAGTTTTGTGTATGACCCACGTGACAGGGCCGTCATCCAAGAAACGCGCCTCAAGACAGCGTCTGCAGACTGTCTTTTGTATGATTTATGAGCACTGTGACCGCAACTTTAGAGAAATCTTTTAGATTGTTTGCTTGTCACCGGGTTCCTTTTGTGCAATAGAGCCGGAAAACCGTTATAGTACCAGTGCCAAGCCCTGCTCTGGGTATCCCGCTACCAGGTTTAGGAGTCCCTATGCATCTGGAATCGGTACACTTAAAACGGCGGGCCGAAAAATTTCCTCTAACTGAGTTGAGCGGTTCGAACCCATGGCATACCTTGAACAGACTATTCGATTGAAAACTCCCTTTCGGTCCAGAGCGCTTCATGGGGACGGCCTTCATCTTCATAATCTTGGTTGCATTGGGACCCGGACCTACTTTTTAAACGCTAATGAAGAGGAGGTTAGGAGGTTGATGGAAAAGATCAAGAGAAGTGTGATATCATACCATATTGGTGGGTTACATGATTTAACGGTATGCTGTATTTAGAGCAAAATGTGAAGGGGAGGGGTACACTGTAGATATTCCCAGGCATAGGTGGCGCGAGTTACTGTCCGGTGCAAAGAATCCGCCACCATCCGTCCATTTATGTTTACACACTGAGCGATATTACTGACCCATAGGATGACCAGTTCACCGAAGAAATCTGAAGTAAATCTGAACCCTTGTAAGCGTGTGCGCGAATAAGGATCGGTTCAAGTGGCTCTCATCGGCTTTCTACCACCCCAGACGTGTTGTGCCATCTCACGGCGCTTGTCAGAAATGCGAGCGAACCTTTGCCACTGTTGTTCCTTGGCGAGGTGGCACCGTTCAAACATTTCTCATCACCCATCGTGCTCGCGACCGAATGTTTCATCGTTTGGTCGCGTACCTCGAACCGAAATACGGTTCCGCTCTCCTCCTGGTCGTGAATTTCTTCACTAATGAAATCGTGACATTGCTCTAAGGTGAGGGGTTTATTCTTTGTTTTGTTGGTTATCTCTTACGTTCCCCTACTGTATACACCCCCAAAGGACGACGTTTATCATCTAGATAGGCAAATAAATAAGCCTAAGATATCGTGAGATTCAGAGGGGTTGGGGGATAATCCATAATAACTGGATGCCAACATGGTCACCCCGACTATGACTCCGGGCCAAAAATGTCTGGAATAATTAAAAGAAAGTTTCAAGCGATCGCATTAAACCTTTTTGCAAAATAACTGCGGCAATTTCCTGCGCGCATATTCGCGGCGAGAAGTTTGGGCATCGCCGCCTGGTGGAATTTTTTCACAAACCAGAGTGAGGATAACTCAACTTAATCTGCTGGTGCAGGCACGTGCATTACCAAGCTTGTATACACTATCAAAATTAAAAGATAACCGCGTGGGTAGCACATGCACTGCCCATAGTGAGGAAAACATAAGCGCCCCCCAGGCGAGCTTCTCACCGGGAATACAAACGCGGAAAACTTCCGTAGGCTTCCAATGCCTTTTTATGTATCGTACGAACGTTATTCAGGCCTGACGAATTTCTTTCGTTCGCAAGTCGGCAGGACGTCGTCATTTCGATATCGTTTACTACAAACGACCTTTTATTGGCGAAGCATGCACACAGCAAACAACCCAAAACTCTGACGTCACGGCACTGCGGTGGCGCTGCTGTCGGCACTGCGCATGCGCAGACGCTTCTCTTCTTCCCGATCTGGTTTCTGCGCAGGCGCAGTGCCCACCGGCCACACCTGGTGTGGGCAGACGTGGGGACCGGTGTGTGCAACATAATTTTTTTTCTTTCTAGTTTCTTAGTAAGAATTTTATTTTATTTTTACGGTACGGACGATACAAAACGTGCCATTAAATTCAAATATATTTGAACAGAACTTAATTTGGATGATATATTGATCTCACGAAACGTCTTATGTCCATCCAGCAAGTTCGCCTTCTCACTGATGCTTTTATTCGATAAGGAGTTTTTGTAGATCATTCCGATAACGATAGCCGACACACCGCCGACGCCTTTGCGCACGGCGTCGTATCGTTATCAGTCGTTATCGGAACGATCGACTAAAAGTCTCTAATCCCTGCTTCGATGTATAAAGTATACGTTCGACAGCGCAGCAACACAACACACGGACACGCACGCGGAACCATCCAGCAAGGGCGCCAGAAACTGTAGCGGTGGACAACTCCTTTATCCCCCAGAAATAGCACAAAAAAAAAAAAAAAAACGATACAAGGTTGACACATTGAGAATTAATCAGCGTTAATGGCAGCGGTCATTGTTACAACAGTCCACGAAAAAGCCATCCCCCAGCGGTAATAAGGCCACACCCGAATAACTTGCGCCCCCGACGACACACGGACGGGCGAGTTAAAGGTACTAGCCCGGGAGATGCGCCTTGCAGAATAACGAAGGGCGGAGAGACGCCGTTGTCACCGGAAGGATGAGAACGGCAGGGCGTCTCTTTCGAACGCCCGGCCTTCAGCACGCGCTTGTGGCCTTCCGTCGTGCTTTGGCTCGAGGCTCACACGAGACGTCGAAGTATTATCGAAGGTAGGAAGCTCGCGCTGAGGGTGGGACGACTGAAAATCCTCCTCCCTGTCGTTCTCATCCTTTTAGTGACCATAGAGAAAGAGAATGCACTAAGTTACACCCTTAGAAAACTTGGTGTAAATAGAAAGTTAACAAGAGTAGGGTTTTATACTGTCCCCCAGGATAACAACCTCTAAACGTAAATCATATCATGAGTTATTTTCAACTCGAGAGGCAAAAAAAGAAAACAAAGAACTCTCCACTAATTTTGGTGTTTAAAGGGGCCGTGAAACGGACACTGAAGGTGGGGAACCAGATGATTTCTTTTATTTTTTTGGGAGATTACGTCAAATGTGATGTAATCCCGCTTCTCTAGTGACGTATCCAGAACCTACTAAACGTATAATGTTGAAAGTTTTATATATATATATATTTTTTTTTTGTTACTTGTTGTCACTAGAATAGCTTCATTGTACACCACTTTCTGTTCCACAGTCAGCATGTCCGAATGAGCCTATTAGCCATAGCTGATCTTAATTGTACTGGTAGTAGTGGTACTGAACGAAACTCGTACACCTGATCGTCGGTTTTCAAAGCAAAGAAAAAAAAAAGAACTTGTCTTTTTTTTTTTTTTTAATAATTAACCAGCGCATGTAAACAAAAAAGCGATTAACGTTAAGAGATTATTATGAGCACCGGCTGAAATCAGTTCATAATCTTTTTAGCACGTCCTACATACGAAAAAATCCGGAAATTAACGTCACTTTATATGCTTCCCAAATTCAGTAAACTCCGCGAAGACACGATCCCGAAAAGGGTGAGCGTGGCATATAAAATACTACTCCACATCGATGAAAAAAGTTATGTCGCTTCGTGGTCATTTCGGGTGAGGAGGTCAACGGTGCAAAAAACGTTTGTCAACAACTTGAAGGCCTGTGGTACATTCGGATGGCACTTGAGTTCGAGTAAATGTAGCGCTATAGAACTCGGAAAAAGCGTTCGAAATTCCATTAAAAGTCGCAAAAAGCTGAAAAGGGAGCTCGACATTGTTTTACAGTACTCTCCGGAAGCCCGCAAGCGATAACCATTACAAAAACTCGTGTTCCCCACTCGTTCACCTGATGGTATATTATTCATAACATTGAGATGCATTCACGCGACGGATGAGATCTGTGACAAGTACCTAAGCGCTCAGCGAAGAGCTTACAATGAGTCGTATCAAAACTTCCATCGGAGACAACTCGTCGTAGATTTTAAAATACATAACAAAAGCTCCAAACATATACGCTCGTCGCTAATCATCAATGTATGCATACCGGAACCCTGGCTTCCAGTGATGGACCATATAACATAAACCAAACATTAAATACTTGCACACAAGCCAGACCAAGTTGAATACAATTCATCCGTCGAAAAGGAACGTCTGGCAAAGTCTCCGAAAAAGTGCTTCAACCTGATACCACTTGAAGATGAGTCTAAGCTAGTCGCCTGGAAGGCGATTCTTGAGAGTCGTCTCGTCATGTCAGACTACATTTAGCTCGTTTCCGAACGAGCAGACGACATCCTACCGCAGTCCCTCGTGATGTCGTCTCAAACCGCGAACATGACCATGACTTGGCCATTCCTATTCACCGTCATCGTCTCCGTCGTTGCGGCTCGGCGAGACGTGCGCACTGTAACCACTGGTCGACTCGAGGCCGTTGTGGAACGCCTCGTTGACGTGGCTCGACGGATGGTCTGCAACGGCGCTGCTGCTCGCGTGGGGCTCGTCCGTCGGCTTCCACGGCGTCGAAGTGGACGGCGGCGACGGTTCGGGCACGTCACGGTCCTTGCCGTACGGCTTGGTGAGGCTCGCGGGCGACGCGTAGTCCGGTTCCTTCTCGAGGCCTAGCGGCGAGCAGCTTCCGTCCCCATGGTGGTCATCTCCTGGTACCTTGATTTCAGGAATATCCAAGTCTTGCGTGTCCAGGCACTGGGTCGTCGAGCCCGAACCACCAGCTCCGTCGTCGTCGCAGTCCTTGTAGTTGAGTACCGGGTAGAGGCGGCCGTGTTTGATGGTCGAGTTGGCGTTGATCATGCCGTAGTCCTTGGTGTCCGAGCAGAAGCGCTTGAACACCACGTACAGCCCGATCAGCGTGATGCTGATGCTGACGAACAGCACGATGCCCAAGACGATGCCGAAGATCATGGCCGCGGATGGTCTGACGCCTCAAGGCACTCCTGCGCAAAAAGCGGACATTATAAATATATATCAGGATAGCACATTTGCAAAGAAGCATGTCAGGGTCGTCTCGATTGCGGCGACTTCACTGGCTGATCATCAGCGAATCAAGAAATCCTCAAGAAGCTACCTGTCTTAGCAAAACGTCAGCTCCCAAATTGGTTCTGAGTCTCGTTTGCAGGTTCCATTTCAATTGTTTTCCTTCCAGCTGCTACTACTGCTGGGCTTTGTTTTAATCATCAGTGAGTGTTTCTGGAAACCGGCTGGTACTACTTACCGTATATTAAATTAACCAAGGTATCTACGCACAGAACTTAAATGTAGAAGTGTACGTTATAAGAAATCATTCCGCCATATCTTTGTAACATCCTTATCGCGGCACTATCCACAAGGCAAGAGGCGTCCTCAGATGCTTGATAACTTATAATACCAACTAAAAAATTCGTACTACTATTTTTTTTCTTCAGATCGGATTAGATGTGACTTTACAGTATACAGGGTACGACCTTGTAATGTGATATTCTTCGATACCAGAAATTCAGACAACCCTCATTACAGCATTTTAGCACAGTGTGTACTCGAAAACAAATGTATGCAACATTTCAACAAAAAAAAAAAAAAGAAAAAAAAAAGAGAGAAGAGAAGAGTGTGCGTACACAGCTTTGATCGACGCTCAATGAAGGCGAGCGCACGGGCGCCCATAGCCCATAGCTTTTGCTTTACTGTCACCAAAAGTTGCCATTAAATATAGTTAGTTCCAACTTGCAGAAAATAAATGCAGTGACGTGCAAACAAGCCTCAGATACAGAGGACAACAGTGTAGGGGCAGATTCGGGTCGGCATGCATAAAACGAGCACAAGGGGATTACCTCCGCCCAGTGGTATCTACCGTGCTATTAGGATCTCTTATCTTCTACTGATAAAAGTCATCCTTTTGGAATGCGCTGTTCAACTGTCCTTTGGCAGCTGTCGCGTCCACCACGGAGTTGCTCTCCTCTGTCCGTTTCTCTCCACCCGCCCCTTCGTCGGGAACCGGAAGAACAGTACCCTCGTCCACACTCTCCCTGAACAGTTGCTTCGTGTCCACCCTGGCATTGTCCCTGAACAAGCCGACGGGCATCTGCAAGAATTTGGGCTTGGACACCAGGACGCTGTCGCGGTCGTCCTCCGGCTCAGCGCTGAACGGATCCGGGGTCCTTCCCGCTTGCGAAGACACTCCGCTGTCCCCGCCAGCCGACCTCTCCGGTCTGTCCGGTCGTTCTCTGCCCCGGGCAAAGAAGGGATTCCCGGCCGTGTCCTCTTCCTCTTCCTCCTGGACACTCGGCATGGGAGGCGGAGGCACCGGCCCGTGGACGTCGCACATGTCCACGTGGTAGACGTCCGGGTTTTCCTTACAGGGCTCGTTGCATTCAGGACACGGCGGACACTGGTTCCGGATCTTGTTACGGAAATGGGCCCTCCGCTTGGCCCTCTTGGACGCCGTGATGCAGACGGAGACGCAGAGCAGCACGATGACACCGATGGTGACAACGGCCAGGGCTCCCAGGAAGATGACCATGCCGGGACCCGCATCGCCGAGAAACCCGGAACCTCCTTCTTCTGGGTTCCGGGACACCGACGGGTCGGAGGTTGTCTTCGGCAGTAGCGGCGACGTGGCGTTGACGTCGGTCGAGTTGGGCGGCACGGTGAAGAGCTCCGTGGTGTTCGACATTGTCGGGCGGCGGCAATGTTAGTGAGTTGGTTAAGACATGGTAGGGAGTAGGGTGAGACTGTCGAGGGCTACAGACCTAAAAGAGCGGAGAATGAGGGCAGGAAGAAGAGAAAGAAGAAAGAAGTTAGGCGAGAGTGGTTAGGAAAAGTCGGCATAAAGAAAAGATGCAGTAGCGGCATGCAATTTTCATCTGTCTACGTTATGGAGGTTAGAATGACGCCTATGCTTAGTGTCCCCCAGTTAGCTTCCAGAAACATTTTTTTATCAGTGAAAAGTAAATGGAGTAATTTTATCCGCGAACAGAAAGCCCGGGCCCCGTGGCCTCCGCAAAACAACCATCAACTACAGATGCAGAAACCACATCTGAACACGCGTTACGCGCTCTTTGTAAGCATTGTGTCTGGGAACGTGAAGCAAGTTAGTGACAAGCGTAGAAAAAGTACCCCTCTCGAGTTACCGCCTTACGTCTATTTATGCTTGCACCCATCAAGAAAGGCTGCAGTGCTAGTCACTGTTCCATCACCGAAGTGCGGAGCAGGGTGTAAGATAGACAGGTGGGAAAACGAGAGCCAAATGAGCGACTGGATTGTGTACCCCTCGGTTTTCTATTTTTTTTTGTGGCGCCATCTATGTGCAGCACCGCGAACCCTCACTCCGGGTGGGCGACCGGTGGCGACCGGCTAAACTGACGGAGATGGTTTCTCGTGGATTTTCAATGGAGGACTGTCGTACTCTCGGTCTATTTGGCGCACTCTCCACGCAAATCCGATTCCGACTTTTTTTCGTCTCGCCGCAGCGCCATCTGTTGCAAAGCGGGGGTAACCGCAAGCAGACGAGTACACGATCCGGTCACGGCGCTGCGGTAGGCTTCTATGGGCCGTTTCCCCACCTGTCTATCTTACACGCTGGTGCGGAGACAGGTGCGCGGTGATAAATGAGAACGAAATCGCCAATCGTTTGATTTTCCATTTCTTTTTCTGCAATGATATCTGCTTATATGCAGAAAGGTTCCAATTTAGGCAATGTCTTTATTTTCGAGAGGAGCGGTTATTATAAAGTGTATACATAGTGACCACATATGTGTTGAGTATATGGAACCTATAAAAACTTCTTACTTACATAGCTGAAAGCAATATTGTCACTGAAAGGATGAGAACGGCAGGGCGTCTTTTTCAGAAGCCCGGCCTACAGCACGCGCTCCTTGCCTTCCGCCGTGCTTTGGCTGCTTTTACACGCTCGAAGCTCACGAGGCGTTAAAACGTTATCGGTAGGGAGCTCGCGCTGGAGACGGGACAAACTCAAAGGCCTCTGCTTACTGATTACCAGCTGAACGTTAGGAAAAGCGACGAAGAGAGAAAGAAACACACTGCTGGACTGTCAACCCATTTTTTATAAACTTCCTTTTCCTCAACCCAATCCTTAAAAGGGTAGCTTTTTCTTCTTCAGTCAAAGCTTAGACTTAAACTTCCTTTTTCTTCTCACGAACCGTGGTGTTCTCCACCTCTTCGACTTTCCCCATCCCAAAGGGGTAGCTTCTACTACTTCAGTCGGACCTTAGACAGAAACTTCCTCTTTTTTTTTTTTCCTCACGATCCGTGGAGTTTTTGTCTTCTTCGACTTTCAAATCTTAAATTTTTTTTTGTTTGTTTGTCTTTTATACTTTCGGTAGTGTCACCCTCGTTTTACTCGGTCGGATCTTGGAGTCACGGGGTCCCAACTTGGTTCATCCGAGGTGCCGCTCTCTTCAGATACATTTTTTCTTTGGGCAAAAGCACAATGGAGGCAACACTGACGCATTCTCCCTCCCCCTCCTCAATGGCCAACGCTTCAAGGAGCTCCCTTCCAAGCTGCTTTCGGTGTTTTGCTAGGACGGTGACGCTTGTGAAATCAGGAGCACATTTGCAGGCCCGACAATGTGCCGAAAGGTGGCCCGCCGACGTTAGTGCCGTCACAGAGGCTGCATGTTCTCTGGTGCGGTCGTTGATGCACCTGCCCGTCTGGGATCTTGTAAACAACTCCTTTTGTAAACAACTCCTTACAACTCCTGGCTTGCAAACAAGCCAGCGGAACCGCCATGGGCGCATCTGTCTCCGTTACCACGGCTAACCTGTGCATGGAAGCCATTGAGGAAGAGGCCCTGCAGTCATTCGCCACTGCGCCCAAAATATTTGTGCGGTATGTGGACGACTGCTTCTGCATCCTTCAAAGATCTGAAGTGGACAGATTCCTCTCACACCTCAACTCCATCGAACCGGCTATCCAATTTACAGCGGAACTTGAAAAAGACAATTCATTGCCTTTTTTGGACGTGCTCGTGAGAAGAGAAAAAGAAAATTTGAAGTTTTCAGTCTACAGGAAGCCCACGCACACTGGACGTTATCTCCAGTTTGATTCCTATCACCCAGCCTGCCACAAAGCATCGGTGGTTAGGACACTGCTGTCTAGGACGAAGGCTATATGCTCCTCTGAGGATGACAGAAGAAAGGAAGAAAAAACCGTCCGTGCTGATCTGAAAAAGAACGGATACACGAGCACCTTCATCCAACGCGTTGCCCGTCGTCAAGCTCGAGGTCAAAGACAACAGCAACCACAAGCCTGTACGCAGCCACGCCCAACCTCGCGCATCTGCGTACCCTACATCAGAGGAACAAGCGAGGCGCTTGCACGCGTGCTAGCCAAAGAAGGAATCCGCGTAGCCCACAAGCCGATGTCCACGCTTGGATTACTCATGCCCCGTCCAAAAGATCGCCCTCCGAAAGAAAAAACGCAGGGCGTGGTTTATAAGATCCCTTGTGCAGATTGTCCAGCCACTTACATCGGCGAGACAAAGAATTTTAATGAAAGAATACGCCAACACAAAAACGACGTTCGCAAGCTCGACCACGAGCGCAGCGCAGTCGCCGAGCACTGCGAAGTCAAAGACCACCGGATTGACTTCGACAACACCAGCATTATCGACGCAGAGACTAACAACCGACATAGGCTTTTCGTCGAGTCCTGGCATATTCAAACGACGCCAGGCAACATAAATAGGTGTCTTGGTGCTTTACCAACAGTGTATGTGAACGGGCTTCGCCATATTCATGAAAGAAGAAGGAGAAAAGAAAAAGAAGATCGAAAAACGTCGCTCCTCAACGGCCACAGTCGCCCCTGACGAAGAACCGAGTCGGTTCGAAACGTAGGGCCCCTACATGTTTAGGAATTGGTTGGTTGCCATATTTTAATTATTGTATTCCCCAACCAGAGAGATTTCTCTCAAATGTTTAGTTTCAACTTCTTTTTCGCATGGGGCGTAGGGTGTTCGATGCGCAGTGCTGCAGGTCGTCGTCCCGTTCTGGGCGGTTTTCCGGTTCACCCTACGGCACATGGCGTAGGCCTTGTTGGGGGCGGAGCACACAACGTGGATGCCTTGTCGGCCGGCGATCTTTTTTAATCGATGAGTAATGCCGTGAACATACGGGACCACTGCGAAAGGCGTTGGGGGCTTCTTTTGCGTTGTTTGATTCTTCTCAGGATTGGGTTGAGGAAAAGGAAGTTTATAAAAAAAGGGTTGATAGTCCAGCAGTGTGTTTCTTTCTCTCTTCGTCGCTTTTCCTAACGTTCAGCTGGTAATCAGTAAGCATGGATAACCAACCGGCTAAGCTACAGGCCATCAAAGGCCTCCCTGCCGCTCTCATCGTGCCGATAAGCATAGCAGACACTATCAGAAAGTGTCCTTTTTCTTTTTTCTTTTTTTCTTTAATAGAGTCTTTCTTGGCGTACAGGGAGCTGGATGCACGCCTTCACTGTAGTATCGCATGACTGCGGCTGATCTCGGGATGAAATCGCCCGTCGTGTCGCGCACAATCCCGATGGGGTTCAGCAAGCCGAAAACTGCGAATCACTATATTTTAATCGTAGCAGCAGCACACGGAGATGAAGCACGCAGAGCGGTCAGTAGCCAGGGAGAATGTGTCAGCAACAACGCTGGCGGTTGACTGTTGCGCGGGAGCAGAAATCCCAGAACGGTGTACATAGAAATTTGCGAGGAAGAAAAGAAGGAATGCCTCTCACGTGATCGGGACCAACGGAGTGTTTACGTACGCAAAAATTGATAACAATAGACACCTTTTTCAAAATTCTACCACGCAACAAAGGCGGTCGCCATTTCTCGGGCACGGGAAGCGTGTCATTGGATCCGAGTCCTCGCCGAACGCTGACGTTACATGCGTATCCAATACGAGCTGGGCCGAGTTGACGCCGAACCCTGACGCAACCCTCGTATCCTCCTCTCCCTCGGTTTCTACCCGTATATACTGGATCACTATCATCATCATTTATTAAACTTCGAAGGCCCTCAGGGTATTACACAAGGTGGGGTACGAGGTGGGGAACATTTTTATATAAAGCGAAGAAATGGCAAAATGAAACAGTCAAACAGTTTTAGAAAAACCCAGATGGCGCGCATTCCTGAAAAGGCTCGATTTACTATCGGCAAGAATCATCGTCGATCTTCCAAGTTTTGCTAAAGAGTGACCTCAATAAAACTCGAATGTTCGAAGGACCCAGAAGAGAAATTCGTCTTCCTTCCAGTGTAACAACTTTAACAGGAAAGAAAAATTAAATAAAACCCGAATCGGCCTTTTTTTTTTTTTTCTGACATATTAGCAGGATGGAAAAATAGTTTGTACCCCCCCCCCCCCCCCCCCGGTTTCTTCTTTTTTTTTTTTTCTTTTTTCAACATAAAGAAGGTGAGCGAAGCACGCACTATCCTCACTATAGCTTTGTTCAACTATAGTGCAGGTTTTTTTTTTTTAGAGAGAGAGAGAGATAGAGAGAGAGAGACTTTATTTCGGCATAAATGGCGAAAAAGGCAATATTAATACCCGCTATATATACATTATTTTCGGGGACGTAGTGATGCATGCGTGTGTTTATCCCCGAAAAAATGATATTGGTAAATTCTAGCGCTGGGCGATTAACCTTCCGATCAATCAATTAACGTTTTTATCGCGATAATCTTTTTTTTTTTTTTTTTT